CCAGAACATTACCCCAATCGGATGAACTGCAGGCTCTCTGGAAGGATTGAGTGACTTATAGAAAAGCAGTTTGATCCATTTTTCAAAAACCTAAATCAAAAAGACAAAATGAGCAGGCGTTTCGTGAAATGCAAACTGCTTCAAGTCAGAAATCCCTCAATGAAACAACACCACACTGGACTGTCAAGGGAAACCAAAAATGTGCTATTCAAATGCCTGGGACATCGCCGCAGAAACAGGCCAGCCGTGCTCTTCATGAAGGACAGGAATAGGAACCCAAGAATGACCCAACTTTGGTAACTGAAGCACACAGGGCCCTATGCAGGCCTGTTTTCCGCTTCAGTGACCTTGTCACAACCAATCCTGTCAAAACGTAACAAAGGACGACCTCCAAGCAACTTATTACCCTCAGAGGGGAACATTCGTGATCATGTTCAATGAGCTGCTGCGAACATGTCTGCCGGCCGTAAATCCGTTGACCATGAAGCGCGTTTCGCGGTACTTAACCCCGTCTCTCAGAGCATCCGCCACGAGAAGAGGTAATACTTGCCCATGCCATATTTAAACAAGATTTGGCCAACAGATTATTTATTGCTGTCTCAGGTAACACACAGCGGAGACATGATGAGACGGCTTTTTACCTCAGGGCACACATTTTTATTGGACGAATTTACTTCTCACTTTCGGGCAGCTGCTGCGCAGAATAACCTTCCCCTGATGGTTGTCCACGCAACAACTAGTACATAATTAAAAACGCCTCAGGTGCTTTTTAATACAAATCCTCCCGCCGGCAAGCTTGCGGCCCCACAGTGAGAACTTAAATTGCAGCACCGCACCAGTTTCGCTTGTGTCTTCCAGGGAAACATCAGACGTTGAACGACAAGGACAAAACGGATGCGTGGAACTTGGGCGAAAGCCTCGATCGTGTGTACCAATCAGCAAATCCGTGAATCTTGACTGCTCCATAAAATTAAATGGCTTGTTCGCACAAACCGAGTGCTATCCGGCGTAATGTCTCAAACCTAATCTCACGAGCTTGGAGTGGATCAATAAGCTGAATCTGCTTGGAAAGCCGATTTTTATATTTGCATCCGCAAGCACGCGGCACGCAGATGAGCCTCTGAACAGACGCACTTTCTGAGGCACTTACCTGAGAACCTCTTGCAACGCCATAAATCTAGATTTTCCGGCGGCCTTGGACTGTGAATTAAAGCATGATTCAAACTCGTCTCCAATACAAAACCAGTTTTCAGAGCAAAAAACCTTGCACAGCATTCAGCATTGCCCATCGTTGACCCGGGACTGGTCCAGCTAAAGACCGCCGGTGTTATCCAACTGACGAACGTAGTTCAGAGTGCGCCGAGATGGCTCATTAGTGAAAGCACCAACTCACAATACGAAAGTGTGTGTTTTGTACAAACTTCTATACCAGTCTCAACGATGCACTGGATAACTCTCAGTACCCTTTGCATCGTCCAGAGGACTTGAGCGCGAAACTATTTCTAGAAGTTTGACTTTGTCCATGCTTACTTTCAGGTCAAAGTTGAGTGATAACCCCGAGGATTTGGACCATCCACACACACTGTTATACTTTCCAGTCAATCCGATTGCCATTTGACGTTCAGCGAGCGCCTGACATATTTAAATACATCACAAATAGGATACTTCAGTGTACGCCTGGTTTTACGGTCTGTGTGGACGATTTTATCACCATGGGTTATAACCGCTTCATTATGTGCTTGATCACATTGTGGCGCATGACGTCAGAGTGCGCCGAAAAAAATAAACTTACTCCATGTGGTTGAGTGCCTTGAGTTTATTACTGAAAACAAGACTGCCAACAAGACCCGGAAATTATCAACGCAATCAAACGCGCGCCTGCATCTAATATGCCCCAGGTTCGGTCTCTGTCCCTTCAGCCACAATAGCTCGTCCTTCACTACTTTCACCTTACAAATTTATAAACAACTCACCAAAAGATGCTCTCGCCGTTCTTAATCGAAAAAAGAACATTGGAATTGCATCTGGTCTTTGAAGATTAAAGTTTGAAGAGCAGGTCTCCTGGGGTACATGGTACTGGCGTTCAGAAGTCTGGAAGGCTGGGGGCATGATGGATCAGATGCAAGATGATGGCATATTGATATCATCGTGAACACCCTCCACAGAAACAGTGAATCCAGAGAGGAACCAAGTGCTCTAAAACCGGACGACCATTGATGTTCACATTTTAAAGATTGATTCCAGCAATCTGTTGAACCACATCGAGTTACGCGCAAAACCCCAAAAGCCAACTCTTTCAAATGGAGGTTTATGTACAAATGCGGTACTATAAGTACAATAATAAAATGATAAAGCTTTACAAACCTCAAATCGTGGGACTATGCCGGCTTCTATACACCGGTTTAGGAACTGCTAATTCCTAACGGGTCTCAAAGTCCACGCCGACTCGGAGCCATGTGTTTACAAGCTAGCGAAACCACGTGTGAACTAAAACGACACGTCCGATGACAAGGTCAAAGAACGGTTTATGTTCAGGTCAAAAACAACAAGGGTGGTATAGGCACAGACCAAAATAACAAAACAGGGGGAATCGCGTTGCACAACATAAAGGGTAGAAGAAAGGAATCAACACCGCCCCCCAAGGCCAGCATGGCTTTCCCTAATCTACCAGCTCAACTCACCGCATGCAAGAAGGAGATCAACGAGAATGGTACAATTGCTCTAGCTACAAACGCTTTCCTCAATCTGCAGCATGCTCTTAGGGTGGTGAGCAACACATATAAACGTGAAACCTCTTTGATGAAGATGCTACTCGAATTGTCAGTTTTGTCCATAGTCTTCCTTTTACCAGATACCACGACGCGGTTTGCGTCCAGTCGTACGCACAAGTTGTTCGCAGTGAATTCCGGGTCGGCCGGGATCTCTACATGCAACTTTTCGCCTCCAGACTTGTCGTCCTTTAGAACAGTCGGTCTGAGAACACCAGTTAGTTGGATTGCTAGTGCATCTTCGGATTTTCGCTTTTGTCCAGCCTCAGTCTCGGAGTGTGGTTTGACGCTTAACTGGCGATCACGGTCGAAAGTTATCGACTTGTAGCCTTCCGTCTTCACTGGAGCTTCGAGCATTAACACAACGTCTTCGGTAAGATGGCACTCCAGTTGATTCTTGTTAACCGACTTGGGTATGTAAAATGTTCGGGAGTACTCTCGACTGCTTAAAGCCCGATCGGTTTGGACAAACTTTTTCGCGTGTACGGTCACACCATTGTCAGATGTGGACACTTTGATGTCGTCCGACCCATAGCCCTGTAGATCGAATGGAACCTTGAAATGAACTCGGTCATCTTCACCAAGTTGATAGGCGTCTTTGAGGAAATCAAGCGAGCTGCTATTGGTCCGTAGAGAGTTCCGATCATCTGAGGCACGACGGCCAAACCTGTTTCTCAATGCTGACATCATGTCCCTATAACATTGCTCCAAATTCTGCCCAGCCCACTTGACAGGGATATTCCATGCACGGCTAACGAGCATAGCGACAGAAGCCACATCCAGGGTCTCATCGGGACATGACTTCCCGGCGGCAGAATTATATAAATGCCGAAAGGCATGCTGTTTCACGTATTGCAATAGTGAATATTCTGCTGCTCTCAGTTCATCAGGCAACAGAGGGCTAAGTGAGACCACACACTTCTCTTCTTTATTTGACCTTATGCGAAGATGCAAGTTGAATGGCTTCATCAACGCCATGGCTCGTTTCAGCCTATTCCGTGAAGAGTAGTAAGAGAGAAGTTTGTCAAATGCTAATTCTCCTAAGACGGTGGTATTCAGAACGTTGGACTCTTTACCTTCAAGGCCCGGTATGTCTTCAGCAGAGCAGTTGACATTCATTTTTGACTACCGGTGTTCTGGGCTTTGTAGAAAGGCGGGACCATGCAACCAACTGTCTAGAACATCCATATGGCTACCAGAGACTCCTCTTGATGAGTGATCTGCTGGATTGTCTTGCATTGGCACATACCCCAACTGCAATACTTCGGTATTTTCATGAATGAATCCCAGCCTATCAGAGACCAACGTCCTATATTTGAACTTTCTGTTATTGATGTAATGAAGTACGACCACAGTTCACCATTTTCCTTATCAGCCTTCGTAAGGCATCGACGTCTCCGGGAGCAATGAGCCCTCCAGTCAGAAGCTCGTTCATGAACGACTGTGCAATGTCGTGTGGCCTTCCGAACTGCGTCTTCAGGATATCCATGGCTCTTTGCTAGCCTGTCTTTCCAGAAAGGAACACGCAGTGTTCAATGGCCTCCTTGGCTTCACCACAGCAATAATGGAGAAGGTACATCAATTTATTGCTGTCGTCAAACAGCCGATCAGCTACGCTCATTTCAAACGCTTTCATAAACTTCCAGAATTCTATCGGATTCCCGCTGAACTTATCTATTTCTATTTTCGGCAGGTTGAAGCCTGGCGTTGTGGTGTAGTGGTCAGCACGTCTGGCGTCCGTCTCGTGCGCCGCGGTTCGAGTCCCGGCCGCGTCACCTTTTCTAGGCCAATTAGTAGATAAATTCGTGCGTTCCGTTCCCTCTGAATAGAACTTCGCTACGAATTTCCCGGCCTTTGGTTCACTGGATAGAAACCCAAGTTCACAGTCACCACATATCGAGTTTTCTTCATCAGAGGAGTCACACGACAACAGCATCTGCTTACGTAAGGCTAACTTACGCCTTCTAATCTCCAGCTCCTTCATTTCTATTACAAGCTCTTCTTCCAGTATCTCATTCTCTAACCTACTTCTCTGCCTACCCGCGTGTCTGCTGGACCTTATACTACCAGCTACGCTAGGCTTAGGGGGTGAATGTTGACAAAATAAAGGAGGTTGAGAAATGCAAATGTCACGATCAACAACTTTATCAGAAATATCGTTCAAAACGATAGGAAGTTCTGGGTTCGACATATTTTCGAATGACTTGCCGCTTCTTGTTCTGGGCATATTGTTTACAAAGTTCCAGATTTCAATTCGGCTGAACGTCTGAGATCCACCGGGTACTTGAGATTTGATTTCCGGATTTGAGTACTATGGGTTGATTCCAGCAATCTGTTGAACCACATCGAGTTACGCGCAAAACCCCAAAAGCCAACTCTTTCAAATGGAGGTTTATGTACAAATGCGGTACTATAAGTACAATAATAAAATGATAAAGCTTTACAAACCTCAAATCGTGGGACTATGCCGGCTTCTATACACCGGTTTAGGAACTGCTAATTCCTAACGGGTCTCAAAGTCCACGCCGACTCGGAGCCATGTGTTTACAAGCTAGCGAAACCACGTGTGAACTAAAACGACACGTCCGATGACAAGGTCAAAGAACGGTTTATGTTCAGGTCAAAAACAACAAGGGTGGTATAGGCACAGACCAAAATAACAAAACAGGGGGAATCGCGTTGCACAACATAAAGGGTAGAAGAAAGGAATCAACACTTTTATTGCATGAACACTTAAAATTTTCGTCATATATTCCCCCCTTCCTTCTCCCGAACTATAGATTTCCTTCACTTCCAAGCTAGGATTGTATGCAGCGTCCATTTGCTAAACGACAGCACGATATTTCCAGCGCATGTAGCAGCAAGTTGGATAGGACCTTTGAGTAAAATATCCTTCTTTCACCATCCGCTGATTGTGAAGTTCTCCGGCCTAGGCTAGTTCCGACTGTTGTCCCGAGAATGTGATGTTCAGACCCAGAAATTTCTTATGTTCTGCCTCCGAAAAGACAAACTGTTTATATTGAACAACAACAAATTAATCGTGCGTCCCTCGAGATACTGTGACATGTCCACATGAGCTCAAATTGTCTGACGCAAAATTGGCCCAAGCGATTTTCCCCCTGATTTTGTCTGTCACACCACTGTCATATCCAATTAAGTGACACTGACTGATTCATTAGTCCGAAGGACAATGCGAGCGATTCTGAAGTCTGCTAATGAAAGAGACCATATCATAAAAACCCAACATCTGTTTGGAAAGCCACGCAATAAGGAAGGACTTACATGCAAGTTTCTACGTCTTCGTTGGCAATATACATTCGAGGTTCGTATAAAGTAAATAGTCCTACCCAAACGAACGTGTCCGATACTGTACCAGTAAACGGCGGTCAATTTTTGTTGGCCCACAGTTACTCCCTTAGTTAATGGATAATAGTTGATGCTCAGCTACCGCAAAATGAATGTGTCATACTGTCGGTGCTATCCTCCACGCAGTAAGCTTGATCCAGTTTAACGCTGTGTGAGAAAAAGAAACGTATAATGTACAGTGAGATCATGGCTGTGAGGTAAGGGCCGTATAAAACCGCCATATATAAGCAGTTTACTCTTTAGTTTTCTCGAAATCACTTCAATTTCCCTACCTAGCACTTCCAGAATATTGCAGTTGAGGGACGTCTGTCGCAGCAAAAGTTGCTAAAAACATTTGGAGATTTCCGTAATATTTTAAACATTTAAACGACTAGTTCGCTAAAACTGAACCCCTCAATATATATATATATATATATATATATATATATATATATATATACT